TTGTTCTAGCTATCCAACTCTGAATTTTGTTTCTTTGGCGAACTCGAGAGTGAGCTTTTCTAGAATGATATATTTTTTTTCTTTTTCAGTTTAAGACGATTTTGTATATGCAATTATTTTCATTTCTTTTCTTTTTTTTGTGAAGGAAATACCAATGCGGTGAATGTTTTGTTGTTGAGGGGAATAAACCCAATGATTTGCAAGCTGTAGTTTAATGTTAAAGAGACCACCCGTTGTTTGCGTCAGTTAAGTGCTATTCTTTTCTTGCTTTTTTTTTTCTTTCACTCCTCCTCCCCCTTCTCTTTTTCCTGCTTTCTTTTTGAGGAGACAAGGGGGATTTCGCTAAACAACTCGCTGTTGCCGGTATTTATAAGCCTCTCGCTATTTTGATCTCGCATTTCTTCGATTTGCCTCACGTATATACATAGAAGCACGCACGCACACACACGTACGTACAGACGCGCGCGCGTGCATTCTCTCTCTCTCTCTATCTATCTATCTATCTCTCTGTCTCACACACTCACACACACACACTCACACACTCACTCACACACTCACACACACACACACACACACACACACACACACACACACACACGCACACATACACACACAAACACACACACGGACTTTCATACAGCTCCGCACCTTCAAAGCTGAAAACTAAAAGGGATAAAGTTGAAACAGAATATGCCACACATTCCAAAGGATCTTATCTCCTTTCATCATACATATAGCCATAGCTCACCAAAGCCCACTGACTCTGCAAACAATGTTTTGGAAATTATATGATGGGGGAAGAGGAGGAGGAGGAGGATGGAAAGGGGAAGGAGGAAGGAGGGAAGGAGAGGAATGGAGGAGGGGAGGAGGAGTGAGGGAGAGGAGGAAAGAGAGGAGGAGGAAGGAGAGGGAGGAGGAAATGGAGGAGGAGGAGAAGTAGAAGGAGAAGAAACGATAATAGTAGTAGTAATAATAATGATAATAGTAATAATAATAATGATAATAATAATGATAATAATAATTACAGACATATAAGTAAGAAAGAAAAACAGGAGGAACGAACAAAAGAAAAAATACACTGATTACATATGGATTTTTAGATTCTTGAAAATCTATCGACTTCGTATTGAAACAGATACTCAGGCAAGAGAGTAAGGCTTGATTCAGCGACATATCTATTGATTTCTAATACCTGGTACTTGCGTGAGATTAAGGTGTATTTTTAAGAGTATACGCATCTCTCTCTCTCTCTTCTCTCTCTCTCTCTCTCTCTCTCTCTGTCTCTCTCTCTCTTTCTCTCTCTCTCTTTCTTTCTCCACACACACACTCACCATCACTCTTTATGTTTTTACTTCAAATTCACCATACCTCCTTCTCTCTAATTCATCCTCACTTTTCCTCCCACCTTTTCTTACTCTGAACTTTCCTTTTAATGGCTTCCTAATCCTCTTCCTGTTTCAGTTTCTCTTCTTGTTTTCTCTCTCCCTCTCTCTCGTTTCCTCTTGTTTTGCTTCATCTCCATCACTAAGCGCTTTCAGGTTTTGCTTAAAAGATGCTGCCTATTCCTAGAAGCTGTCTGGGTGTCGGAGGAGTTGGAAGGGAATGAAGGAGGAGAGAATAAGAGGGAGAATAAGGAGAGAGGAGGGAAGAGGGAGAAAGAGAGAAGAAGGAGTAAGAGAGAAGAGGGAGATAGAGAGATGAAGGAGAATGAGAGAAGAGGGAGAAAGAGAGAAGAGGGAGAAAGAGAGAAGAGGAGGATAGAGAGAAGAGGGAGATAGAGGGAATAGGGAGATTGAAGAGGGAGAAAGAGAGAAGAGGGAGAGGGAAAATGGGGAGGGAAAGTAGAATAAGGGGAGGGAGAATAGAGAGAGAAGGAGAAAAAGGAAAGGAGAGAGAGGGAACAGGAGAAATTGGAGGGGGAGAAGGGTTTGAAGGAAGAACGAGAATAGGAGAATGGCCGGGTAAGAGAAAAGGGAGAGGAGAAAGGAAAGAGAGACAAGAAGACGGAGGAGACAGGAGAGAGGAAAAGGAAGGAGTGAAAATTGGAATGGGGAGGGAGAGAAGAGGAAAAAAAAGAAAAGGAAAAGAAAAAGAGGGAGAAGGGGAATGAAAAGGCGTTAAAAGAAACAGAGTATATAGCAAGGGACACATATTAGAGTGAAGAGAGAGGGGGGGAGAGGGATGGAGGGGAGGGTGTGAGGGCGACAGAGAGGCGTCGCGACAGGTGTTTTCCTTGCTCTCATTATGTATCTCATATTTACATTCTCTCGTCCTTACTCTTTCTGACAATCTACTTTTCTCGTTCTCATTTTCCTCCTCCTTCCCTACTTAATTTCCCTATTATCCTCCTCCTCACTCACCTCAAAGAACGTGCAGGAGTCTAATGAAGATAAGACATTGATGGAGAGTCGCGTAGCGTAAGAAATAATTAACCATTTGTTTGTCTGTTTATCTATTTCAATTGACATATTTTATTAAGGATATATGTATTTCTGATCCATAAATAAAATAGAAAAAAAAACAGGTTACTTCTTGGAAAAAAACAACAACAGGTGTTTAAAACGAAGGACAAAGTTCCATCGGTAACAGTGTGGATTTTTACGATGTTTTTTCTTTTGTTTTTTTTTTCTCACTTCTTTTAATGTTTTGTTCACACATTATGCTCTTCTTGATCTCATATCATGTATCTCTCTTTTTTTTTCTCTTTGTTTCTACCTTTTTTTATATTTTCTTTTTTATTGTGTCATATGTGCATCGTGCTATAAATTAAACTGCTCGTGCTGTACGTAAAATATATTTTTGTCTCTCGTATTTCATATCTTTTGAAACAGCGGAAATAGAACCGTGAAATATTTCCACCAAGTCCAATTCCTCATCACATTTATGACACGTAAAATCAGTTTCAAAACGCACCATGGAAACTATTCTGAAACCTGTTTTGGTATTCAAATAACGTGATGTATGATCAGGTATGCCGAGACATCACTCATGAGATGTCATGCGCCCTTGACGTATGTAGATGAGATAAATCGGGCAGTGGAACTCTACGGCTAATGCTCTGACGATTTCACTGTCAAAGTTTTTTTTTAGACTGCCTATTTGAGAGGATTTTAATGCGCTGAAAAATTCTATCATTGTGATCGGCTGTCGCAAAATAAACTCATCTATGGTTTATATCAGGCAAGAACAAGGCAGTGTGATATAACCACAGAAATAGGCTTGGATTCAGACTGTACTTGCAAGACGGTACAATATGCAACATACTTTTAAGATACAAGGGCTGTGTGATTATTTTTCTTGTCAACTGATACGCTAAAGAGTATAATCAAAGGATATGATCATTATGTAACCTACAAAGCGTACTGCAATATTGCCACAGAGTTTTATCACGATGCAATGAATATATCAAAGGTTCCCCACACCTCTGCAGTAAGAGAGGGTAGTAAACAAAAGCCTGAACTGAACTCAAAGCTCTATGCGCTACGCTCTCTTCTCCTTGCAACAACTCTCCTGTAGTTCATGGCAAGAGAAACATCCCGTTGCTAGAAACCTCCTTGGCAAATCTCAACTCTCTCGATCGGGCCTGAAACCACGCCATTTCGCTCAGACTAGCAGTAATTAATTCCTTCGCACTGTTGTTAATCCCCTGTTGGCTTGCCGTTAATCCTACGCCATCCTTATAATCCAACTACCGCATTCCCTAATAGACTCGAGGCAACGAGGCACTTTAGGAAAGTATTAAATCCTCTTGGGTTTTCTCCTCACGGCTGGCTCTTTCTCATCAGGGCGCTGCCGCCATCTTTCAACAGCTGGTTCTTCTCTCTATATATCTCTTTTTTTCCACTCCCTCATCCTCGCCTCTCTGTCTTTGTCTCTGTCTCTGTTTGTCTCTGTCTCTGTCTCTCTGTCTCTGTTTCTCTCTCTCTCTCTGTTTCTCTCTCTTTCTCTCTCTCTCTCTCTGCCTGCCTGTCTCTCTGCCTCTCTCTCTCTCTCTCTCTCTCTCTCTCTCTCTCTCTCTTTCTCTCTTTCTCTCTCTCTCTGTCTGTCTCTGCCTCTGTCTCTCTCTCTCTCTCTCTCTCTCTCTCTTTCTCTGCTTGCCTGTCTGTCTCTGCCTCTGTCTCTGTCTGTCTGTCTGCCTCTCTCTCTCTCTCTCTCTCTCTCTCTCTCTCTCTCTCTCTCTCTCTCTCTCTCTCTCTCTCTCTCTCTCCCTCCCTCCCTCCCTCCCTCCCTCCCTCCCTCCCTCTCCCTCTCCCTCTCCCATCTTCCACCCGGTATTCCCTTTATCCCAATGATAGACATAAGCGATAGGTGGATGTAAGGGTTTTGTACGAGACTTCTCTGTATCAAAACTTGCCGTTTGAATTATTACCATCACACCGGAAACGGGGGAAAAAATATATATACGATATATAATAATTGTATATAATTGTATACATACGATTTATTGATCGATAAACTTGAACATCTGGGTTGTAATATTGAGAATGACAGATTGGAGTTTTATTTATATATATATATATATTTTTTTTGTGGGTGTACGTGCGTCCTTCAGTACTGTCAAAATAAGATGCGTAGCGAGTAAGCACACTTGTATGGCGTACGTGACCTATTTGACACCCTTAATTTAGGAAATCAACGAAACATTTCTGTACAGTGAACGTAGTTTCAACACCTGCGGTTGTCTTTGTCGTATCATTAGGTTTGTTTTTGTTTTGCTGGCTATAGTTTACGACTGAAATCCTGGTTTGTTTGTTTGTTTTTTTCCTCGTAGGAAATGTGTGTGTGTGTGTATGTGTGTGTGTGTGTGTGTGTGTGTGTATGTGTGTGTGTGTGTGTGTGTGTGTGTGTGTGTGTGTGTGTGTGTGTGTGTGTGTGTGTGTGTGTGCGCGCGCGTGCGCAGGGTATATTACGATATATAACCCGACCACCATTCCTACCACCACCCTCACCATACCTCGCTACCATAACCTCTAAGTGATCCCTCTCTCTTTCTTCCACAGCTGGACTACAGCGAGTGTGGAGATGAGGCTCAGCCATCGCCCAAACACATGAAGCTGTTCACAGACTCTCCACCCAGCCCGGACCGACAGTTTTGCTCGTCCACTACGTCTATGGCCAGTGACTCTGCGCATACACCGTCTGAGGTTAGCTATTTCGGTGTCTTTTATTCTTTTATTTTTTAATTTTCTCTTTTTTCTTGGTTTAGATAGTTATTATTGTCTGAAGATGATGGGATTATCTATATTTTTAAAATCTGTGATGTATATTCGGCTGAATGCGTGGCCGGTTTTGAGGTTTCAGCGGTGTTCGAATATTTAAAGCATAATGTAGCGGTTGTGGATAACTAGCCTTACAAGCCTATAAAAGAGTATTTCACTTTGACTAACGGACTTCAAAGATACTTTAAAAAAAAGGTCACAATATTTACACCAAACAACTATATTCCAGAGTTTACGAGAGGACGACGCCCCAAAGCGCCTGTGTCTGGTGTGCGGCGACATTGCTTCGGGGTTCCACTATGGCGTTGCTTCCTGCGAGGCGTGTAAAGCCTTCTTTAAACGTACTATCCAGGTAAGGACAAGAGGTGAAAGCTGGGACTGCCTTTTTCGTGTTGGTTATTTTTTTTATTTTTTTATTTTTTATTTTTTTTTGTCTTTTCTTGGTTCTCTCTTATTTTTCTATGTCTGTCTGTCTCAGTATCTCTGTCTCTGTCTGTCTGTCTGTCTGTCTGTCTGTCTGTCTGTCTGTCTGTCTCTCTCTCTGTCTGTCTCTCTCTCTCTCTCTCTCTCTCTCTCTCTCTCTCTCTCTCTCTCTCTCTCTCTCTCTCTCTCTTTCTCTATCTATCTATCTCTCTCTTTCATGTCATATCACATAATCTCGATTTCGCCTTCCTCATTATACCATGCGAAAGAGACGCGTATTGTGTTCCATATTACCACACAACAAAATCTCAGTGCATAATACAAGCATTTTTTAAATCTCTCTCCCTCCCTCCCCCTCTTTCTTCCTAATCCTCCTCTACCCCCTCTCCCTCCCCATCCCCTCTCCCTCCCCCTCACTCTCTCCCCTTCCCCTTCCCCTTCCCCTTTCCTTTCCCCTTCCCCTCCCCCTCTTCCTCCCAACCCTCCCTCCCTCCCTCCCTCCCTCTCTCTCCCTCTTCCTCCCTCCCTCCCTCCCTCCCTCCCTCCCTCCCTCCCTCCCTCCCTCCCTCCCTCCCTCCTCCCTCCTCCCTCCCTCTCCCTCTCCCTCTCCCTCTCCCTCTCCCTCTCCCTCTCTCCCTCCCTCCCTCCCCCTCTCCTTCCCCCCTTCCCAATACAACACCATACTTATCCAATGATACTGAACCACTGATATTATTTCAGGGAAACATCGAATATACTTGTCCTGCTGCCAATGACTGTGAAATTAACAAGCGGAGACGAAAAGCCTGCCAGGCATGTCGCTTTCATAAGTGTCTACGAGTGGGTATGCTAAAGGAGGGTGTCAGGTAAGTGACATTGACAGGGCCTTTGAGTAATAGTACTGCATGGGTGTGAGTTCGTTTTTTTTTTTTTTTTTTTTTTTCTTGCGTTGGTATAAATAGGTGTTTTTTCAGTTAGGTATTCATCATCATCATCATCATCATCATCATCATCATCATCATCATCATCATCATCATCATCATCATCATCATCATCATCATCATCATCATTAAGACATTCATTAGCCTTAATATCAATATCAACCTCAACCTCAACATCAACATCAACATCAACATCAACATCAACATCAACATCAACATCAACATCAACATCAACATCAACATCAACATCAACATCAACATCAACACCAACACCAACACCAACACTAACAGTAACACCATCACCATCAACATCATCACCATTATTAGGACTAGTTATCAATCACTATTAATTTTGTTGTTCTCATGTTCATATTTCCTTGTCATTGTTCTTTCTGTTATTTATATCATCATATTATTAAAACATTATGATTAAGAATGATAAATTAATCAATATACAGTATGTCTTGCTTATGCATGCAAATAGCTATATTTGACGATATCTTTACAATAAATTTATTTTGAGCTCATTAATTCATGATTTAACACAAATGACCTCTGAATTTTACTCTATCCATATTGCCAGCGAATGTATATCCAATGCCTTCTTTTCCGCACAGGTTAGACCGAGTTAGAGGCGGGAGGCAGAAATATAGGAGAACTTCCGATTCCCCGTTTTCAATGCATCAGATGCCTGTTAAAAAGGCTTCATTAGAAGGTATGAAATGAGTATTAGAGTTTTTCTGTTCGTATCCATAAGTTTTGCTTTCAAAGGACGGGTCTACTATTCAGTAATTTCCTGTTCATGATTATTTTTTAAACTGTTCTTTTTTTTTATATCTGTAGTCATGTTGGGTAAAGAGGATTAACTAATGAAATATATGCTGAAAGTTCCAACAAGTTATAATCCTAGCCACCGATTTGTAAAACATCCAAGTAATAGCTTTATTTTTCTCCTCTTTTTATTGGAAAATTTCAGATATTAAATTGCTGGCTTCCCTGCGTGCATGTGAGCCGGAATCACTCCTGGCATTACCAGACCTAACTGTGTTCGACCCTGATTATCTCACGATATCCATCCTTGCTGACCTCTATGACAGGGAGCTGGTCTCCACTATAGGCTGGGCTAAGCAAATTCCAGGTATTTACTGGTTTATGACTATTATTTTCCAGCTTTATTTGATTTTAAGGTTTCTTAGTATCGATTTTTATTTTAAATTGTGTTCTAATTAGTTTTAATTAAGATTCTGATTAGAATTTGTGTATAATATTGAATTTGATGACTGGCTTAGTCACTTTCAAAGTTATTGATTTAGATCATGGAAACCAATAAGATATGTACTATCAAATACATTTATCCTTCTCTACAATTGAAAAACTAATTTTAATACCATATTAACACTTTTTTCTCCCACATAGGGTTCACAGAATTAGCTCTGAACGATCAGATGCGGTTGCTACAAAGTACTTGGGGAGAAATCCTAACTTTGGGACTAGCCTATCGATCAATGCCAGCCCACGCCCACACGCTCTTGTTTGCCCATGACTTCACGCTTGATGAGAAGCAAGCAAGGGAGTGCAACGCCACTGAGCTCTTTACGCAGGTGGGTTCTTGTGATTAATGATACAGCATATTGTGTGCTCAGTATAGCATACAAATGAGTTGTACTTTTTTAGTATTTATGTATATTTTTTTTATTAGTCATACTGATTTATACACATGTATAGTGTATTTAAGTTTTAGATTCTGTGTTCATATCTGTAGCTATATGTTATTATTCATATTTTGGGATATATTTATGTTGCTATTATGTATGATTAGTTGCTATATTTTACTGCAGAGTTAACATTCTCAGAATGGTATAGGGTAGGAGAGGCTTTATACAAGACTGACATATGCAGGGATAAGCATACATTCAATTTAAAAAGTAATTAATTTAGCCAAAGGCGTTTGGCAAACAGATTGAGTTCCAGAGGTGAATCCCTTGTAGGTATTTAGAATATTTCAAAACTACAAATTTTATCACTTAATGTAAATAGTTTTGTGAAAATATCTATCCTCTGTGGCCTGTGCCAACTAGCTGTTGAAAGCAACATAAAGCAGGAGTTAAAGACTATCATACCATTTTATGTAATACAGCTGGAACTAAGATTTCTTTAAAAGTATGTATAATATGCCTTGCATGTGGCCTGCATATGTGATAAGAAACAACAATTTGGTACTTGTTTGTTAATGAAATTCTAAAAAAATATATTCTTCCAATTATTAATTTGTAAATTGCATTGTTATTTTCCCCATTCATTGAAGTTCAATGATGCCAAGAGTCAATTTCATCTATACTACGTCAGCAACCTAAGACTGTTAAAAGTTCCATTTCCAGCAACTTTGTATAAGAATGTTACAGATATAGTAGTTTACTCCTCTCCTACTCTGATTTCTCATTTTGTTTATGAGCTATAAAAAGAGCTAAAAAAGGAACTTAAATGTTGTCTTGATTTCAGGTGCTTGGTGTAGTAGAACGGCTTGAGCAGTGTAATATCAACAGAGAAGAATTCCTGTTGTTGAAAGCCCTGGTCCTTACCAACTCTGATGTGCGCCTGCAAGATAACCAGGCCTTGCATCGTCTAAGACAAAATATTCTCCAAGCTCTGCATGATGCTGTTGCAACCCTTAGGTAGGTTTCATGACATGCTCTTCTTTATGCAGATTACAAAGAAAGGCATCCTTAGTTTATGAATATAATTAATGTATGCTGTCCTTTAATTTTTCCATACATTTGATAGGTAAAGTGATTAAAGATTGACTGTATGTAATTCCTTGTGTCTAACATTCTCTTGCTTTGCAGACTGCGCGATGCTGTAGCACAGATGCAGTCGCTACTCCTTTGCTTACCATCTTTAAGAGCTGCCGATGCAGCCCTACGAAGGTATTGGCTCTCTGTACGTCATCAGGGCACTGTGCCTATGAACAAGCTTTTTGTGGAGATGTTGGAGTCACACATGCGGTGAATGGGAACTATGATTAATTCTCAATCACTCTTCTGTTGTAAAACAATGCTTATTTAAACATGAAAGGATGATTTGGCAAGGAGGTCATCACTGGTGAAAAGTGCATTAAACAGTAGACTGAAGGATAAGGCAAAAGATTCCTCCTCACCAGGTAATATGGTCTGCTGATGGCTAGAACAAACATCTTGGTCTCAAAGTCTTCCAAGAGAGGAGTCACAGTGCAAGAACTTCCTAGATCCAATGGGATGCCAAAAGGAGCAGAAAGTGTAATTCTTTTCAGCCGCAAGGGGCTTTTATCAGAGGCGAATTGGCCTGCGATGTTCATGGTGTTAGGAAAAAAAAAGAAGGACGTGTTAAAGTGAAGTTAAAGTGTTGCAGGGTGATTTTTTTATTTATTAATTTTTTTTTTTATTCTAGAGAAATGGCTATATT